AGGCTGAGAAGGGTGACATTTCTTCTTTCTTTAATTGCCTATGTGTGTCTTTTGCTCACTTGTCCCTTTCTCATTAATTTGGGTTACATATAAAATAAACCCTTTGTCTGTTGTCTGTGGCATAAATATTCTTTGCAAGTTATCTATTTCTTTTAGATTTTTAAATGGTGGTTTTTAACATGAAGACATTTTAAATTTGCATGTAGTTAGACCTTCAAATCTACCAGACTTTTCCTTTGTGGTTTCTGCCTTCTTTGTTATGCATAAAAAGATCTTTCCCTCCCCAGTTGGCATGAACATTCATCTATATTTTCCCCAAGTTTGTTTCATTTTCAAAGTCTTTAAGATGAAGTTTATTTCCCATCCAATCTTGACCTTGTGTGAGTAGGAGACACATGCTTAGGTGTCTCCTCAGGAACCTGGGGGTGCCAGTAGTTTGACCGGTGCTCACTCCCAACTCAGGATAACTTCCAAGGGCCATATCTTTGTCTAGCCATGGCTCTGGGAAAGAACACTTCTGCTATTTAATTGGCCTTTGGGAAAAAAAGAGAATCTCATTGGTTGTGGCTATCTGGTTGGCTCATCAGAGAATTTTCAATTAAAGGAAACCTTACCAAATGAGTAGGTTGATTCATATCTGACAGATGGGCAATGACATTTCCATAGAGCAAGTGCACTCCATGTGGGCAGGAACTTTTTGTTTGTTCATGGCTACATCCTTAAGACCTAGAACAATGCCTTGCACATGGAGGAGACTCAAATTATGATTGTTAAATTAGTAAATGCATGAATGACTATAATGTATCCATTTTTTTTAATGTAAAGAGGTACTAATACAGGAAGATACATCAGATTTTTAAAAAGCAGAATATAGTACTGCATGAACAGTATCCATCATTCATTCATCCACTTATCCATTTGTCTAATAAATATTTATTGAACTATACTATGCCTCAGGAAAAAGACAGGGTTGATGTGAGGACTAAATGAGTTAGCATATTATATTAGCTTACTTGAGCTGCCATAATGAAATACCACAAAATGGTGGCTTAAACAACAAAATTTTATTTACTCACAATTTTGGAGGCTAAAAGTCCAAGATCAAGATGATGGAAGGGTTGGTTTCCAAGGGAGACTGCTCTCCTTGGCTTATAGATGACAGACTTCTCTCTGTCTTCTCACATGGCCTTTACTCCTGGTGTCTCTTATTCATCTTATCAGGACTATTGGATTAGTGCACCTTGCTCATGACATGACCTCTTTTATCTTTAATTACCTCCTTGCAGGCCCTATACAGTCACATTGAGGGATAGAACTTTAACATATGAATTGTTGGTGGGGGGACAAAATTCAGTCTATAACACATACATAAAGTGCTTAGAAATAATGCCTGGTACATACTATGTACTACACAAATGTTGGATATTGTGATTATTAATAGGAAATATGTAAAACTATATGGGTTATTATTGAAATCTTATTGGGGATGAGATTGCAAGTAATTTTTATTTTATACTTTCCAAATTTCTCTATTTATTTATGCTTTTCCAAAATGTTTACATTGAGCAATTTTATTAATCTGAGAAAACACTGATATTCAATAAAAGACATAGTTGAACACTATAGCTCTCAAACAATTTCATCATGTGTTCAAAGTCTTTACTCCAGATGGGATAGCTATCCTGAGTAGATTCTTTGCTAAGTTTCAACTTTTTGGCTCAGCTCTCCAGATTTGTGTTTGTCAGAATAAAGAGAAGCAAAGATTTGGCTCAGCTCACCCAGCCCCACCAGCCAGAGCTTCCATCTCCTAGTATACGCAGGGTGGAGGCTGGAGATGTATCATGCTGTGTGCCCAGCTCCACAGCCACACCCTCCGGAGGGCTGGAAAGACCTTCACAGTGAGACAGCCAGTGGATCAGTCTGAGTTCTTGGTTGCATACCATAAAATATGCACTAACTATTTTAAGAGGAAACGGAGTACATTAAAGAATGTGTTTACATCCCAAAGGCCTGAATTTATGAGAGGTTTGAGAAACAGGCTCAAATTTCAATTACCAGGAACCACATCCAGAATCATTGCTTCTGCTATCACTCTTGGCCAGTAAGAGAGATGCCACGTGCAGAACTTTATCTCACTCATTTCTGGCTTTTCTATCAAATGCTCATGACAGTGTGTCTCACTGGCACAGTCTGTCATTTGTACACCTCTAGCTGCAAAGGAAGCTGGAAATATGAGTTTTCTGGATTCTGCCAGAAAGAAGTACTTACAATGTGGGAAACTATCAAAATATAGAAGAGTTTCAAACATGTTGGGGAGCTATAAATAACAAAGGGTCCATCTCTCTCAGGGATGCATGGCCCCATGTGCAAGAAAACCTGAGCCCAGACTGGCTGAGCCCCTCCTAGGCTGGCTTTTATGGCCATTAGCAGGCTGCATATAAAGCAGATACTGGGCCTTGCAGGGCCAGAAAATGGCCACTCAATTGTGATGATGAACAGGCAGTACCGTCATGGCTAAGTTTATAGTTTCTTGATTTCCAGAAACCTCTAGATCAGTCCCACGTTGTACCAATGAACACAGAAAGAGGCAGAAGTGTACTGTGGGTTGCAGAGCATGACAGCTTCAAATCCAGGACTGGATATCCAGGATATCCTTTGCCTCACTTTGATGCCTGGCAAACTTTTCCCCCAAGAGTTAAGGCCCAACTCAAGTATTTCCTCTGGGAGGTTTCCCCTGGGTTAATCTAGGATCAACTTTCATCACATACCATACTTACCACATTGGATTGCTGTTATTGCTGCTTTCTATTTGTCTCCCACATGTCCCTAGTTTCTAGGAGGGGGCCAGACACAGAGCACATGTTGGTGAACATTTAGCTGAAAGAGTGAATGAATGAAGAATGAATAAATGGGAGTCAGGAGGCCAGAATTGCTATGTGACTTGAGTTGTTCTCTCTGAATCTCTGTCTCCTGCTCTGGGATAATGTTCTCTGCATTCTTTGTGCCAGACCCTGTATCAGGGCTGAAAACAGATGATTAGAATTCTGCCAGCTGGTCCTCTCAGAGTACTGGTCTATGGAGGAGATGGGTGTGAACAGAGCTGGCCACTACAGTGGCTAACTGTGCTGGCTAAGAGGGATAGCCAAAGGCTTCCCAGCCTGGCCTGCATGTCGTCTCTGCATCCTGGGTTCCCTCTGCTGAGTTCCATAGCTGCCACACTCATGCCATCTAGAGGCATTAGTCACAGCTGCCCATGCCCTTACATGGTCCATAGATGGAGACCCAGAGAAGGTATAAAATCTTGGGAACGAAGAACAGGCAAGAGCAAGTCTCCTTAACAGTGGAGGGAACAGATCTGGAGATGAAAGAAACTTGGCCATGATATCATAACCTGGTCTTTCTGTCACCATCCCTCAGGGAAGCCAAGCCATGCTCAGAGGAAAACAAAAATACTTGGCTAAGCTATAATCAGTCACAGCTCTAGTACAGGTTTTTGAATTAAAATATTCACAAGTAGCGCAGACATCTGTAGGAAGAGTAACCGGATGCGACATCCTGCTGGAGGCCAGGCTAAATGTGTCCCATGACATCACTCTGAAGAGGAGGCTGCCAGGAGCTGCACAAGGACCCAGAGTGCTCCTGCAGCAGAATGCCGCAGAGGAGGGCTGGGCCTAAGGATTGCTGCCTGGCCCCTGGGCCCCCTGCTATGGCCTATGGAGAAGTTGTCTGCCCCACTGCTTAGGCCAATCTGGTCTAGGGAGATATGTTCTTTCAGACAAGGCTTCTGGTTCCCCCTGGTCTCCTCCTGAGCACCAGCAGGTGTATAGTTAGTCTGCTGCCAGTGAAAATGGGAGGGAGGGGGATTCTGACAGCCATATTACCTGCTGGGAGGAATCATGCCACACAGCCTCTGTGACACCCTCTTAGAGCAGCTCTGCCAGACTTGGGATCCCAGCAAAGTCCCTGCAAGGCAGTACCTGAGTTCAAACAGAGCAGCTCTCCTAGAATTCCAGGTCCTGTGATGAGGAAGAAGGTGGAGGGTCCTATTGTAAAGACTGGAAGTGACTCAGACATACACATTTAAATACTTGCACCTACGAGGTGTGCACAGACAAGCCTGGGCACACACATTCTATATACACGTACTACAGATACAGGCTCCACACACACTCACCTCCCAGCTGTTGTGCTGTGAGCACATGTGCATTCAGGACAACTGGTATCTAGCAAGTCTGAAAAGACCCCTGGCTCTTCCACTCTCTGCTTCCTGATTTTTGCTCTCTGGTTTCCTACCCTCTTCTTCCTGGATTCTGCTCTCACTCACTGCCCCGCCTGGGCGGGCTGCATATAGAGGTCTGGGCTTCTTGAGCGCTGTCCTCGGTGCTGGAGGCCTGGTGGGCCAGTCAGGTTGGAAAATAAGCAAGAATACTGGGAGGAGGTGCTCTTGAAATCCAGATGTAGTGTCCATGGGGACGCCAATGCCTACGCTTATTCTTTCAGGAAAGGTGCAATTGAACTTTCTTCTTCCAATCCCAGACACTAAAACAAGGTGTCCTACCCCTTACCCAACAGTAAAAGCATCTGTGGTTGTGGGTGGCTACCATTCATTGTAGATATGAGGGGCTTCTCCAGACTTTTTGTGCCATGTATGGTTGTGTATGAAGACCATGATTGTCTGTGCCCTCATTAGACACCTGTAATTCCATGTGGCTGTTTGTGACTTCGTATTATCAATACTGAACACATATGACAGCCCGTCGCCACTCAGAGCCTCCTGTGACCTTGTGTAGCCTCAGACCCAACTTTATGCGTCCCCAGATGATCTGGGCACTATATGGTCTAGCTGCCCCCTTTGCCAGAGCCTAGATAGGCCCTACCCACTCCCTCTCCTTACCCATTTGCAGACGTGGCACCCAAAGGCTCCTAATGTCTGCAAACTTGGGTCCTAGGGGGCGTTGGCGTCAGCAGTTACCAGCGCACAGGCACCTCCTATGACAGGTAACCGCGACCTCGATGCCGCGGAGCCTGCACAACCATAAGACTTCGGCTGCGAATCGCGGGGAAAGGGTCACGCGTTGGTGAGGTGGGTGGCAGCAGAGTGGGCGCAGTGTCACGTTCTGGCGCTTGTCGCCTGTGCGCCCCTCTCCAGCCGGTTTCCCCAGAACGTCCGGTCCTGACGTTGGGAGGCGAGGGCGGAGAGGGCCGGTTCGCTGTGCGGCCAGGCCCCTCCCCCTCCGGGGGCTCGGCGGTTCCGACGCGGCTCTCGGCGCGGGGCGAGCCCGCGGCGCGGCGGGGCTGCAGCGCTGAGAGTGGGGCTGGGCTGCGGAGCGCGTGCCGCGCCCTCCCCCTCCGGCCCAGTCCCCGCAGCGGCGCGGGGAGGCGGGAGCTGCGGAGCGGAGGGCGGGGGCTAAAAATACCCGGCGGCGGCGGCGGCGGCGGCGGCGGAGCGGCTACTGCTGGGGCTGCGGGGCTGCCGGGCTGCGGGCCGGGGGGCCGAGCCGGGCCTGGCTGGGCCCCACCGACCAACATGCTGACCTTCTTCCTCGTGTCTGGGGGCTCCCTCTGGCTCTTAGTGGGTAAGTCTCGCCTTGTCCCTGTCCCTGACCTCCATCTCCAGCAAGCTAGCGGGTCTTAGCCTGAGGTAGGGGAGTACTTCTCCCTGGCCGCCGAGCCACCCTCTCTGGCTGCTGAGCGGTCCCTTCAAGGTCCCCAGGGCCGCCTAGGTACACCCTCAACCTCTAATTCCGCGGGCTCCGGGCCGGTTTGGGAAGCTGCTGGGTCTGCAGATAGAAGGGGCCTCGCTTTCTGCGACCTCACCACAACCTCCTGTCAGTTCTCACGTCCTCCTCCCCTTATGAAGAGGACCATCCGCTGATCAGATTAGGCCCTGAGCCAAGGCCAGGGACAGACTTATTGCGTCCTCATTCATCTCCTGGGATCAGAAGCCGAGGGTGTTGGGCCCTGAGGTCCCGCAGCAGGTCAGCTATGTAGCCGGGATTGACCTGGGCTGCCTGACACTGGCCAGAAGCCTCCTCACGATCCGTCCCTGCCCGCCCTTCAAGTGCAAGGTATCTGTGGTGTGGGGTTCACTTGGCTCCTCAGCTCTGCCCAGGGCTGTGTCCCCACAGCTTCCAGCCCCCTTCCTTACTCTTCTCAGGAGTCAGGCTCACCCTTGCACCCTCTTAGAAGGCTATGAAGACCCCTACCCATCACTCCCCTTATCCTCCCCCTCATACACCCACACCTGGGGGCTCACCACAGGCCCTTTCACTTACCAGTTCTGCTACTCACACAGGCCACTCCCCTCTCTGAGTCTCAGGGTCCTCCGCAATGTGATATATACCACTATAGGATCTTCACCCCCCCACCCACCCTGTGTGCAAATTAAACTTCATAATTTATGGGAAGTGTTTGATCTTTAAATTAGTCTTAAACCTGGCTTACCTCAGAGCAAATGTTCTATGAATATTAGTGTTTATTACTATTTCGCATACAAATAGCACCGTCAGAGGTGGTAATAAAGTTCTTCCTGAGTCAAAGAAGGAGAGGATGTTGGCCCCTTTGAAATTCTTACCTGAAATTCTACACACTAAATTATTTAATATTTGCAGTAAATCCTAGGAGGTCAGTGTACTATCCCTTTATTTACTGAGGTTTAGAGGGTAATTGACTTCCCCAATGTCACATGAATATCCGGCAGACTGAGATTTGATCTGAAGCTTTAATTGATCAACCAATGCTAAGTGCCTGGCTGTATAAGGCCTGAACCTTGAGGGTTGGTGGGCCAGGTAATCACTTCCCTCCACCCCCACCATTGCCCTGAGTTAGGCCACAGGGGCAGGAGAGCGAGTAAGGCCTCTCTAATCCCCTGCACTCCCTAAGCTCCTTCTGTCTGCCGGTGTCTGGTGACAGCCTATGCAGGACCACTCTGGTTCTGATGCACACCCAAGAGGCAAGGACAGGATGAGAGCTGGGATCAGGGGTAAGGAGTAGGGGTAATCAAAATGATGATAATGATGATGATAGTAACAGCCATCATTTATAGCCTGACTGGTAGATGGTCTTAGAGCCTCTTCCCATTGCCAGGACCCCTTTGTCCTACCTTCAGAAAGTCCCCACCCAAGCATGTGTTCAAGGACAGCTTTCTGAAGTCTGGGGGCTGCAGGGTCACTTTCTCATCAGTAGCCTATGAGAAAAAAAAAAAAAAAGTCCCTCAGTGTGGGGCCCTTATCTGCAAGTGGGGTTAGCTGGCCATGAATCACAGTGGCTTTCTGTCTTGCTTCCTTATGGGAGCCTTTTCCAAAGTGGTTGGATGCCTCCTCTAATGGAAAACTGGGGGATATGCCTCACTGAGGGTCTAAAGGGTCTTGGAGTGGTAAAGCAGGGCAACTCTTGGGACGTGTGGCAACTGCTTCCACAGAGGCCAAGCTTCTCAATGTGAAGAGAGGCTGAAGCTGGCACAGGCGCTCACTGGAAAGTTTGCCCCAGACACACTGGGGCATTCCTAGGTTATCTGTCCACCCTCCTTGGGACTTTGCTTGGGCCCTAACCTTCCTTTGGGGGCAGAGGAGACTCCTGGGGGAAGAACTATGCTTTAGTGAGCACACCTGAGAACACACTCTGCCTCGTAATCACTGGGCTCCCATGGCAGCTACAAGATCCCTTCTGCTCAGCTAGAAACAGAAGTCAATCACTGTCACTTTTTAATAGAGTTATGTGCTTTTTGCTACCTAATCTGGACCTGAGGAGATAAGCTAAGTGCAGGCAAGGGCTTCGCTCAGGAGCCTCAGGGAAAGAATGACAAAGGGGGGAAGAGAAGCCACCTAAAGGAGGAGCTGACTGTCTGGAGGAGGCAGCCCTGTGCTCTGGGCTGTGACTGTCCTGTTCCCTGCTGGAAAGGCCAGCACTGAGTCCTGGGCCTGCTCAGATCTCACTTGTGTGTTGAGTAGTAAACAAGAAACAAGTAAAATAGGTCCAGCATGATTCAGAAGCTGAGCCTAGTGCAGAAAAACATGCTCTCAGTGCCATAGGCACTCAGAGGACAATGGGAGCAAGGGATTGGAGCTTCTGCCGCCTATATGACACCTTTAAAGAGGAAAAATTTCTAACAGGACACCCCTTCCTCTAGGCCAGTGTTTTTCAACCTTTTTTTTTAATCTCATGGCACACTTGAACCTGTCCCTGGCACACTTAGTTTATGTTAATCAAAACAGAGAATTTCTTTCGAAAATAATTTATTTAATGATCTTTAAAACTTTTCAAGGCACGCCTAAGATTCTCTCACAGCACACTGGTTGAAAATCACTGCTCTAGGCTGACTCAACCCTATGCCCTTGTACAGGATCCAATTTGCTCAAATGTGTACCCCACCACCAGTGATGTCTGAGCGGGCTTCTGCTGCATATGGGGGCATTTGTCACATGTGGGCTAAACTCCAAATCAGACCAGCAAAGTGTGCAGGTAGAACTGTTATGGGGATGAGTCTTCAGGGTTTTGAGCCCAGGGAACCTGGCTGTGGGAGAATTTTGACTTCAGGGCCTTCTCTCAGCTAGCTCTCCAGGGTATATAAAAGGAGCACACTGACACCAGGGGGCAGCAGAACCCAGTCTTTATGCTCTCCAGCTAGTTTTCTGCCCCTTGTGACTTTAAGGGCTCCTTAGATTGACCTTCAGAAGGCTGAAATTGACCCGGATTCTACCCTATATGGGACCTAGAACTTTCCCCACACACAAGTTGAGTGAGCAGGAGGCTCTGGGTTGTTTGAAAAGAAAGATGAAAGTTACAGGCTTTTGAAGAGCAGAAACTGCACTATGTATCCAGCCAACACCTGGCACATTCACTGAATGAAGTACTGGGGGTATGTGTGCTTGAGGAGGGTGTATTCATGGGGGGAAGTGTGGAAAACATGCTGACTTAGCTACTGTTTCAGTGAGCACCTACAATGTGTCAAGTGCCTTATTCTGTAATTCCCTCTGTCTTCCTACAACACTGCAGTGCTATTATTTTTGGATTTACTGGATGAAGCACTAAGACCCAGAGAGGTTCAGTAGTGAAGCAACTTGTAAGAGAAGTGAGTCATACCACACCAGAGAGGGATCACCAGGCATGATCAGCCAGGCCTGAGCCCTGTAGCAGGGCTGTCAGTGGGCTCAGGCCCAGGAGTCCTTGGACAAGGGAAGGTTTAAAGAGAAAACACATATAAAGTGCCAAAAGTAGGTCCTGGCACACAAGGAAGGATAGCTAAACAACTTGTGCAAGGTCTTCCTTAAGGAAGAGCCAAGATTCTGACACTCTAATACAGAAAGTGAGTGGGGGAAGAAGGGACCTGTGTGAGGAAAGATTGGAATTGGAATGAATGAAATTGAGGGACAAATTCTGCTTGGCCAGAGCTGGACTCTAATGGCCTAGGATGTCAGACCAAGCAACATTGACTTTGTTCTAGGCAGTAGTTGTGTCAAATAGGTGTAGCTAGAAGTGAGCATGTGGATAGCCAAGGTGACACCCTTCCTGGGCTCCATAAGCTACATGCATCCCCTGATGTTGCAAGATCCACTGAATTGCAGTCTTTGGCCTCTTCCACGAGTTTTGTGATTTCCTTGAGGACAGGGCCTTACAATGTATATTAGTGTTTATTGCATAAACGAATGCTATAAAGAATTTCCTGAGAATAATTTATTTTAATAATGATATGTTTTTTAATCTATTTCCTTGCCACAAGTCACTCAGCAATAACAGACTTTGAGTTGTTTCTACTCTGTGACTAGCTGGGGGGTGATGCCAATATAGCAGAAGCAAGAGGGAAAATAGGTATAAGCTTATAGGCAGGGTCAGGTCATCTTTCACTGGAGAACCTTGAGTGCTAAGAACCAGTGCAGCCCAGATTAGAAGGTGGTGTTCCAGAAATGTTTGCTGAATGAATGAATGAGTAAACGAATGATTCCCACAGCCTTGGGGTAACTGGTTTTGTAGAAGGTAGTCTTCTTTGTGGGCTGTTGTTTCCTTAGAGCTGCAAAGTTTTGTCCTCCTGTTGGACTATGGCTACTCTGCCAAATATAGAGGAATCTCCAGTCGAGATTGTCATTTCACTGAATGGTTTGGTGTAACAGCCCCATTCTCTGCCTCAATCTGGCCAGAGTTCCCACTAACCATCCACTGGGCCCCAGGATTGCT